TATACATATGTGTTTATTTATATATATGGATTATACACATATATTTCCATGTATATATATATGTGTGTGTGTGTATATATATATATATATATATATATATATATATATATATATATATATATATATATATACATATATATATATATATATATATATATATATATATATATATATATATATATATATATGTATGTACACATACACACACACACACATATAAATATGTACATACATATATCTACATATGTTTACTTGTATATATGGATTATACACACACGCACACACACATATATATATAGAGGTAGATAGATAGATAGGTAAGTGGATAGATAAATAGATAGATAGAGTGAGAGAGAGCGAGAAAGGAGAGAGAGAGAGAGAGAGAGAGAGAGAGAGAGAGAGAGAGAGAGAGAGAGAGAGAGAGAGAGAGAGAGAGAGAGAGAGAGAGAGAGAGAGAGAAGATGATAAAGAGGAAGATAGAGAGTTAAAGAAAAACGGACGGAGTGCCATCTTCACATTAATCAACTGAAGTAATAAGCCTTCTCCGAGAGTGACTGGCACAGTGTCAACGCCCCTCCCTCATTGGCACTGAAAAGAACATTATTATTATATAAGAGTCACAAGCTCGGCGGAAAAAATGGTTATTCACTTAGTAACTTGAATAATTGAATTGCATTCTATCATGTTTATCTCATATGCTCATTTGCATATTTGTTTATCCCGTTATTACCTGTATTGAATTAATTTCTTAATTCTTTTTATTCATCGATATGATTTCTTTTTTTCTTTTATTTCCTTAAGTGGTTATCTATTTGTCGCTGTGATATTCTGATCTTTATCTATTGTTCTTTCTTCCTTTATTTTACGAATGGACTTGTTGGCATTCTGTATGTTTATCGTTCATTATTTTCACACTGTATTTAGTTAACTGTTTATATCTGTACATGGATGTATATGTCTGTGTATTTATCTACATCTTTCTTTATTTATCTACATCTTTCTGTTTATAAATCTGCATAAATCTGTGTTAATGAGTCTTATCTTTGTATGCAAGTAGCTGTATGTTTATTTATCTGCATCTGCTCTCTCTAAATTACACTGTGAACAGCAGATGTCAAGGAAATCTGGTGCTAAAAATAGACACAGAAGTAACGTTGGACAACAGATCAACCTATCTTGCAACGTAGATGCAGACGACGCAACCAACTCAGCAATTGATGTTGTCATTGCTACTCAACGCACATAGTTGCTTAGCTTGCATATGTATCGATCTAGTCTGTCATCAACCTTATTAACAAATTTGTCACAGAACATATTATTCATCTCACTAGGACTGCCAGTAATATATCTTTTAGTCATTTCGATCATTATTAATAAAATCGATATGATTAAAACGATGACATAAATTAAAATCAAAATAATCATAACAATTCTTATCACAAACAAAACATGCCTTTAAGACCACTAGAAAAAGCTCCGACATTTCCAACTTTCACCTCTACCACTTACCCACCTAACAACAACTGCCATATTTCAGGTGGTTCGTAAACCGTCTTTTTTACCATAAATATTTCTACTTATTCGATACATCTCCATCCCTATAGTACAGTGGAAAATGCAGTTTCATCTTCCGAAGTTTCTTTACAGTAGATGTTTGCCTTCTGAGTACTAGGAAGATCCATTTGGAATAATAGCTTAGCAGAATATTGTACGTTTTACATTTCTGGACTTAGCATATATATTTTTTTGTTTTTATACTATCTCTTATATCTATCAAAATATAGTATCTAGACTATGAAATATCGGATGATAATAGTAGAGAAACTATTTTGGTTCCTGTTTAATCGCGAGACTTGTCTACCTTCACTTGTTGTTAATGAAGTTGACCAGAACACAAGAAAACGTTCAATATGTTTCGTTTTCGATGACGGCGAACGCTTGGCCTCGTTCGGCTAGCGGTTCATTCCGATATTTAGCTGGATTAATGTCTCTTTTTATGATTTGGTGTGACGTAATGACGCCAGCGAATGACGTAATGCGTTTAATTGCAATTTTAGGGTCGTTTTGTGCGAATGTTAGAAATCAGACGAAAGTATACGGGTTGTGAGCCAGCCAGGTCGGAGGTGTGTCTCCGGGCGGACCAATCACGGCGCGTCGAGGGCACATCACGCCTCTCTTCTCAGCCAATCACAGGCTAGAGACGAGATGACGACCTCAGGGTACAGGTTATGGCTTGCACACGCAACTTCATAAAAAATACGTGTGTTCTAAAAACTGTATATATACTATTAAAAATCTCTTTGTTACAAGGAAACTGTGATAGAAAATTTTGTAATGCTCCGTTCTAATCAAAACTTCCAATTTATTTCAGATTTCTCTTCAGACATCTGTTACGTCACAGTTTTCAAACGACGTTGAAGGTAGCTACCCCCTTCCCCACCCCCCCTGATTACACCCTATGAGAGAAATATAGAAAAGGCAGTTTGCCAACTAGATGATG